GGCTTCTGCATCTGAACTCTTCATATATAACTACAAACCAAGAACTTATTTTAGCATTCTTATTAGGGGTTCAAGCACGCAGTGCTGAAACCCTATTGAAATTGTTAGGATTTTTAATATTTTTTTATTATTATTATTCTCCCCTAAAACTGATTGTGCAGACCAAACCGTAAGGCCTAGAGACTTGAAACTTGGCCAGATCGTAGAGCTCAGTTTGGGGAGAACCTATCAGTATCTCGCCCCAATCGGCCAAAAGGGGGCGGCTACAGTGCAAAAAACTAAAATTTCAGACATTTTTGGTCCTAACTCGTACATCCTGTGTCGTAGACTCAAAGACTTACATCGTTGCAATCCTTGCGTCAACACAAACAAAAGTGGAGTACGACAGATTTTCTCTACGACGCACGTTTTTTCCGCAAAATTGAGTTATATCCGAAACCTACTTTTGCGAACTAGTCCCTAGGTTTTTCGCCTGATCGGAACCAAACCACTGCAGAAATATTCTCTGGACACTGAATATCAATAATTATCAAAAAAAAGTTGAATTTTCGTGTGCAACAGCGTGCAAAGAAACATCTATCCTAACGTTAGCCAAATGTTATTTTAGCTATAACTCTTGAACGGAATGAGATATCTTAACCAAACTCCGTACACATGTGTACAATCTCAATCTTTGAACAAATAATTAAAAAAAAAAACGCGCAGCTCTGCCACTTGACAAGATGGAAAAAACGTAAAAATGATGATAACTGCACAATCGTTGGTCCGATCGACTTGAAAATTGGTATGCAGTGTCATTGTCCAAAGTGGCACAAGTGTCTATGAGGACATTTGTGTATCTCAAAAAACATGGCCGCCATTGGCCAAACAATTTTAAGCACCTATTTGACAGGGTTAACGGAGGTCGATCGGAACGAAACTCGGTGGGCATGTCGACTCATGGCCCTAAAGGTCTGTAAGAATTTTGAAAGAAATCGGCCACTGGGGGGCGAAATTGCGTTTTTCAAGTGTGCAAACAATTGTATATTGCACGGTTTTTCACACATCAACACAATATGCATATCATTCGATAGATCTCCTATTGAGTAACTTTGCCTCAAGAACCATTGCTGTCAATCAAATCGTTCATTAAATATTCTCAATTATGTTAAAAACCTACTTTTGCGAACTAGTCCTAGGTTTTTTTGCTAAATCTCGATCAAACCACTGCAGCGCAATTCTCTGGACTCTCTAGATCAATAATTATCAAAAAAAAAATTGAATTTTGTCCTTCGCTTAATTTTAACGATGTCAGAGAAGTGTTTAGAGAAGGGGCGTGGCCAAATATACCCAAATGCCTATAAAACCTAAGCAAAAACTCAAAACTTTACAAAGCTCGGTGAAAACATGTGTCCAATGACTCTTAACAAGCATGCAAAGTTTCATGAATATCGGACCATAGGTGGCGCTATAACAGTAAAAAAAGTCTCCAAAAACACAATTTCAATTATAACAGAATTAAATTGTAATTAAAAAGCATAAAACGAATATAACTTTGCAACCATTGGTCCGATCGACTTGAAAATTGGTATGCAGTGTCTTTGTCCAGTGTTCCATAAGGGTCTATGATGACATTCGCGTATCTCAAAAAACATGGCCAATGAAATTTGAGCACCTATTAAACAGGGTTAACGGAGGTCGATCGGAACTAAACTCAGTGGGCATATTCGACTCATGGCCTTAAAGGTCTGTAAGAATTTTGAAAGAAATCGGCCACTAGTTGATGTTTTACTCATCCACACAATATGCATATCATTTGATAGAACTCCTCATAATGAGAAACTATGCCTCAAGAACCATTGCTGTCCATCAAGTTGTTCATTAATTATTCACAAATATGTTAAAAACCTACTTTTGCAAACTAGTCCTAGGTCCTTTAATCTCAATCAAAATACTGCAGTAACGTACTCTGGACTCTCTAGATCAATAATTATCAAAAAAAATTTGAATTTTGTTCTTTGTTTACCTTTAACGAGGTAATTAAGAAAAGGCAGTGGTCAAATATTCCCCAAAACCTATAAAACCTAAACGTGTGACAGAAGACATGTGACAGAAGACACTTAACAAGCATGCAAAGTTTCATACAAATCTGACCATAGGTGGCGCTATAACAGTTGAAAAGGCCTGAAAGATACAATATTTGTATAGAAAATGGCCTCAAATTGTAGAACGTACATATATTCACAAAAACACCAGATCTTCTTATCATATGACAGATCTCCTCATTCTGAACAACTTTGCCTCTGAGACCAATCAAACTGGTCATTAAATATTCAAGATTATTTAAAAAGGCTACTTTTGCAAACTAGTCCTAGGTCTTTCGCTCAATATCGATAAAACCACTGCAGTAATGTTCTCTGGAGTCTCTAGATCAATAATTATCAATCAGTCCATTATCAATAATAATTATTTTGAAAACTCAAAACTTTACAAACTTGGTGACAATATGTGACAGAAAACAGTTAACAAGCATGCAAAGTTTCATAGAGATTGGACCATAGGTGGCGCTATAACAGTTAAAACGGTCTCAAAAACAGTATTTCTGTAGTAAATTGAAATAAAATGTTCATATATTAACTTATACAGTATATCTTCATATCATTTGATAGATCTCTTCATTCTGAATAACTCTGACTCTAGGATTACTGCTGTCAATCAAACTGGTAATTAAATATTTGAGATTACTTAAAAAAACTACTTTTGTGAACTAGTCGTACATTTAAACTCAAAATCAATCAAATCAGTGCAGTACTATTCTTTAGACCCTCTGGGTCAACAATTATCAAAAATATGTTGAACATTTGCATTTGGACAACTATGAACTGGTCATTTTACAATACAGGTGCATCTCAATACATTAGAATGTCATGGAAAAGTTCATTTATTTCAGTAATTCAACTTTACATAGTGTACCCAAAGGCCTATAAATCCTAAAATAAAGCCCACGATATCTCTCAAAACTTTGTAAAATGATGCATAATATCATTCTAAGCAAGCATGTAAAATTTAAGAGCGATTGGGTAAAAAAATAACACTATAATAGTTATAAAGGTTAAAAACACAGTGTTGTATGGGAAATTGCAATTATAACCACTAGATGGCAGCGGAAGACCACTAATTGGCTCATTAAACACCCTAAAACAGTACTGTTCATAGGTTAGCTTATGGATTCATGCTAAGACATTATAAATCACTGTTATATCACTGTTATAACATCAGTCAAAGTTTACTATTTTGTTCATACAGAATCAGTTTTTACAATTATGCCAGATTATGATTACAGTGAAACCTGAAAATGACATATACACTCTTAAAATGTTTTGTGTCACCTATCATTTATTTCAAATATCTATATCTGCAACAAAATGTGTGTGCATGTATGTCTGTGTATGTGTGTGTGTCTCTGTGTCTGTATGTTTAAGTATGCTTATTGAGTATTAATAAACTAGTTTAATCATTTCATTTCAGTGTGTGTGTGTGTGTGTCTGTGAGCATATTCTCCATTTTGGATGTGTTTTACTGTCAGCCATACATCCAGGTTGGCCTAGACTCTAAAATATACAACATTAAATGCCTTAATGTGCTTGAACCCTGGTAATTGCTGCTTGCAGCTATATTTTACTTATTTAATAGCTTCATTATTATTATTATTATTATTATGATGATGATGAAGTAGATCTTACAAGGAATATAAAAACGTATTAAATGATTTAAAAACTGATTTAAAAATAATTTAAAACAGTTAAAAATAGAAAATTATTATACATAAAATACAGTGCAATCAGTTCGGACGTAGCACAGTGCTCATTCCGTAAATGCAGAGCTAAAAAGATGAGTTTTTAGTCTGCATTTAAATGTGGCTAATGTTTTAGCATATCTGATCTCTTCTGGAAGCTGGTTCCAACTGCGGGCAGCAAAATAACTAAAAGCGGACTCCCCTTGTTTTGTGTGAGCCCTTGGTATTTCTAACTGACTCGATCCGAATGATCTGAGTGGTCTGTTAGGTTTATATTCAGTGAACATATCTGCAATGTATTTATGGTTACTGGTTTTCTCCTTGTTTAACTGAAGAAAGTTCTGGCACATCCAACTGTTCATTTCATCAATGCATTGGCAGAGGGAGTCAATGGGGCTGTAGTCATTTGGCGATAAGGCTAGTTAAATCTGGGTATCATCAGCATAAATGTGATAGGCAATTTGGTTCTTTCTCATTATTTGACTCGGTGGGAGCATATACAGGCTAAACAAGAGCGGTGCAACTGATATTTTGCCAGAATCAGAATTTAAGCGACTATCATCTTTTATCTTTATGAGCACTGTCTCTGTGCTGCGATGTGATCAGAAACCAGATTGAAAATACACACAGCGGACACAATATTATGTTAAAACAGGCAAAATACGTCCCCTTTAAATCTGTAATCTGTGAGTTTAATATTTTTATTGCTTGTTATTAACTTATGCTTTGCTGTTTGTTAATGTGCTTTGATATGAACAACATACAGTTGATATCCTAGTCAATCTTTAAAATATTATTTTCTTAATTGAGTTTAACATATGCTCTTACGTCAGTATCTCCAGTTTACAGTGAGGATCCTTCAGTCCATCTGAGAGCCGCTTCAGACCTCTATCTCCTACATAATTCAATGACAGATGCAGTTCTCTCAGGTTTGAGTTTGATCTTAGAGCTGAAGCCAGAGCAGCACAACCTTTAGCTGTGACGCCACATTCTCTCAACCTGCAGAACAACAACACACTCTTCACTCTCAGTTCAGCAGAAACAATGACACAAACAGAGATATTGTAATATTAAATCATAAATCTGTGTGGGTTTAATGTTTTTATTGGTTCTTGTTTACTTTTGTTTTTTGTGTGTTTGTATAAATCACTGTAATCTGAACATAATGATTTTCTTTGATATAATATGTATAATTGTTTCAGCTGAAATTCACATATGATCTTACCACAGTATCTCCAGTTTACAGCTAGGATCCTTCAGTGCATCAGAGAGCAGCTTCACTCCTGCATCTCCTACATTATTCCCAGACAGACTCAGTTCTCTCAGCTGTGAGGGGTTTGATCTCAGAGCTGAACTCAGAGCAGCACAACCTTCATCTGTGACGCCACAATCCCACAACCTGCAGAACAACAACACACTCTTCACTCTCAGTTCAGCAGAAACAAGCACACAAACACAGTTACATTATAAAATAAATCTGTAATCTGTGTAGGTTTAATGTTTTCATTAGGTTTTTTTTGTGTTTGTATAAATCACTGTGATCCGAACATAATGATTTTCCTAGATAAAATACGTATAATTTTTTCAGCTGAGATTAATGTATGCCCTTACGTCAGTATCTCCAGTTTACAGAGAGGATCCTTCAGTCCATCAGAGATCAGCGTCAGACCTCTATCTCCTAAAGAATTCAATGACAGATGCAGTTCTCTCAGGTTTGAGTTTGATCTTAGAGCTGAAGCCAGAGCAGCACAACCTTTAGCTGTGACGCCACAATCTCTCAACCTGCAGAACAACAACACACTCTTCACTCTCAGTTCAGCAGAAACAATGACACAAACAGAGATATTGTAATATTAAATCATAAATCTGTGTGGGTTTAATGTTTTTATTGGTTCTTGTTTACTTTTGTTTTTTGTGTGTTTGTATAAATCACTTTAATCTGAACATAATGATTTTCCTTGATATAATATGTATAATTGTTTCATCTGAGATTCACATATGATCTTACCACAGTATCTCCAGTTCACAGCGAGGATCCTTCAGTGCATCAGAGATCAGCTTCACTCCTGCATCTCCTACTTTATTCCCAGACAGACTCAGTTCTCTCAGCTGTGAGGGGTTTGATCTCAGAGCTGAACTCAGAGCAGCACAACCTTCATCTGTGACGCCACAATCTCTCAACCTGCAGAACAACAACACACTCTTCACTCTCAGTTCAGCAGAAACAAACACACAAACACAGTTACATTATAAAATAAATCTGTAATCTGTGTAGGTTTAATGTTTTTATTGGTTCTTGTTTACTTTTGTTTTTTGTGTGTTTGTATAAATCACTGTAATCTGAACATAATGATTTTCTTTGATATAATATGTATAATTGTTTCAGCTGAGATTCACATATGATCTTACCTCAGTTTCTCCAGTTCACAGCGAGGATCCTTCAGTGCATCAGAGATCAGCGTCAGACCCCTATCTCCAACATAATTCTCAGACAGACGCAGTTCTCTCAGCTGTGAGGAGTTTGATCTCAGAGCTGAACTCAGAGCAGCACAACCTTTAGATGTGACTCTACAATCAGACAACCTGTTGAGAACAATCACATTACAACACAATGTTATCATCATGTGATATTATTTAGTGCTGATACATTTGGAAATATATAAAAGCCAATATACTAATATGCTCTGTTGAGATGTGATGAAACAATAGATGCACCCAGTGTAGACGGTCGCAGAACACAAAGGGCTTTATATCTTTATATAGATATAAATATACTTTGTATATAATATGATGTAATATGATCTTTATACTTTTAACAGTCCAAAATTCCATTTAGAACAATCTAAACTGACATGGGCTATTTTCCACATTTCTCTGAACAAAGAGAGAAGTCAAGAGAGAGCATTCATTTAATTTTCACTTTAATTTTCATTTATTCATCATTCATCACAGCATTAATAGATTTAGTTTAATTGTACAGGGGCATTTTTCAGGCCAAAACCCCTGTTAATTTCTGTCCCGTGGACAGGGGAAGTGAAGCCTTGTCCAGCCTTACACACACTCTGCATATGACGCTAGACTCAATTTGTTGAGTTGTAGGTGGAAATAATACACAGCTTACATTATTCTTTTCTTTCAACAAACACTTCACCATTATTAATATCAAAAGCAATACGTGGATGGAAGTGCTGCTGATGTTATGCTGTAGAGAAACAAGTTCATCAGTAAATTCTGTTGGTAAATGAGTGAAACATTGTCTTGGGGCTTTAATTAATAGTATTCCAAAATAGTTTTTAAACCAATGTAAAATTATTGACACCCCTTTCCGTTCTTATGAGAATAATTAATGTTTGTTTGTTTTTTTTCAGTTGAATTGGCTTTGCATTTCATGATGGTCAATGAACAAACAAAATCACTATGACAGCTGCTGTAGATTTTTTGGTGATTGTGTCCTGTATACATATTATTCTGGCTGCGCTTGTACTATATTTAAGATGCAGGGTGAAAATGCAAATAAAATGATTAGTGACTAAATATTTTATGAAAATGTTGAATGACAGAATAAACAATTTTATAAAATTTTTATAATGAACAATAAAACCATTTCCCCACAGCCTGCTTTGCTTATATTTACCAAGGGTGCCAAACACATTCAGATATGATCAGATATACATTTTCATGCTGAGATTCACATATGATCTTACCTCAGTTTCTCCAGTTCACAGCGAGGATCCTTCAGTGCATCAGAGATCAGCTTCACTCCTGCATCTCCTACTTTATTCTCAGTCAGATCCAGTTCTCTCAGCTGTGAGGGGTTTGATCTCAGAGCAGCACAACCTTCATCTGTGACACCACAATAACTCAACCTGCAGAACAACAACACACTCTTCACTCTCAGTTCAGCAGAAACAAACACACAAACACAGACTATGATATTAAATGCTAAATCTGTGTGTGTTACATCTCAGGAGGTACTATTATTATTTTGTCTCATGTCTAAGGGGACGTATACACAACACCATTTTCAGCAGAAAACAGAAAACTTATGTGTTTTGGTTGTTTATTTACATCACAATGGCATTTCTCTTTTTAAATACAACAATGAATTAATGATCAATTACATATATTTGAACAATGACATTTTATTGTTTTATTAACTAGTAAAACTACACATTCTGAACAAGTTTGAAGCAGTGTATCGGTAGTTAGTTAATATGCTACCTAACTGATCAACAATTACAGGTACAAGCTAACGATGTGTATTATAAATGAACAATCATTATTGAACAATTGCAGCTAGCAGCTTCATTCAAATGTGTGAACTGCTAAACACATAGGCAGCTTTTTATTGTTTGAGTCACTTTTCAAAAGTTGCTAAATACATTTGAAAACCTGCAAAATGTGTTGCTAGGTTCCAAGTTTGACAAAAAGGTTCCAAGTGTAGTCTAAAAGTTGGCAACATGAACACAAATGAAGGGTGTTAGAAAAATATCTCTGTGAGCCCATATAATGAAATATAAAGTTCATATCATTCTAAAAGTTGTGAAGCTCGTTCTGAAGCTGATGTGAGAAGTGAAGCAGAAACACAGTCACTTCTGGCTTGAACATTATAAAATAAATCTGTAATCTGTGTAGGTTTAATGTTTTTATTGGTTCTTGTTTACTTTTGTTTTTTGTGTGTTTGTATAAATCACTGTAATCTGAACATAATGATTTTCCTTGATATAATATGTATAATTGTTTCAGCTGAGATTCACATATGATCTTACCTCAGTTTCTCCAGTTCACAGCGAGGATCCTTCAGTGCATCAGAGATCAGCGTCAGACCCCTATCTCCAACATAATTCTCAGACAGACGCAGTTCTCTCAGCTGTGAGGAGTTTGATCTCAGAGCTGAACTCAGAGCAGCACAACCTTTAGATGTGACTCTACAATCAGACAACCTGTTGAGAACAATCACATTACAACACAATGTTATCATCATGTGATATTATTTAGTGCTGATACATTTGGAAATATATAAAAGACAATATACTAATATACTCTGTTGAGATGTGATGAAACAATAGATGCACCCAGTGTAGACGGTCGCAGAACACAAAGGGCTTTATATCTTTATATAGATATAAATATACTTTGTATATAATATGATGTAATATGATCTTTATACTTTTAACAGTCCAAAATTCCATTTAGAACAATCTAAACTGACATGGGCTATTTTCCACATTTCTCTGAACAAAGAGAGAAGTCAAGAGAGAGCATTCATTTAATTTTCACTTTAATTTTCATTTATTCATCATTCATCACAGCATTAATAGATTTAGTTTAATTGTACAGGGGCATTTTTCAGGCCAAAACCCCTGTTAATTTCTGTCCCGTGGACAGGGGAAGTGAAGCCTTGTCCAGCCTTACACACACTCTGCATATGACGCTAGACTCAATTTGTTGAGTTGTAGGTGGAAATAATACACAGCTTACATTATTCTTTTCTTTCAACAAACACTTCACCATTATTAATATCAAAAGCAATACGTGGATGGAAGTGCTGCTGATGTTATGCTGTAGAGAAACAAGTTCATCAGTAAATTCTGTTGGTAAATGAGTGAAACATTGTCTTGGGGCTTTAATTAATAGTATTCCAAAATAGTTTTTAAACCAATGTAAAATTATTGACACCCCTTTCCGTTCTTATGAGAATAATTAATGTTTGTTTGTTTTTTTTCAGTTGAATTGGCTTTGCATTTCATGATGGTCAATGAACAAACAAAATCACTATGACAGCTGCTGTAGATTTTTTGGTGATTGTGTCCTGTATACATATTATTCTGGCTGCGCTTGTACTATATTTAAGATGCAGGGTGAAAATGCAAATAAAATGATTAGTGACTAAATATTTTATGAAAATGTTGAATGACAGAATAAACAATTTTATAAAATTTTTATAATGAACAATAAAACCATTTCCCCACAGCCTGCTTTGCTTATATTTACCAAGGGTGCCAAACACATTCAGATATGATCAGATATACATTTTCATGCTGAGATTCACATATGATCTTACCTCAGTGTCTCCAGTTTACAGCGAGGATCCTTCAGTGCATCAGAGATCAGCTTCACTCCTGCATCTCCTACTTTATTCCCAGGCAGATTCAGTTCTCTCAGCTGTGAGGAGTTTGATCTCAGAGCTGAACTCAGAGCAGTACAACCTTCAGCTGTGACGCCACAATCTCTCAACCTGCAGAAAAATGACAGGCCCTGCATCCCAATGTGCATACTATCCACCCTACCTGCCAAAAATAGTATTGAAAATGACTAATATCACAGAATTTAGGATGGATATTATGCACACTGGGGCGCAGTCACACTCTTCACTCTCTCAGTTTAGCAGAAGAAAATAACACAAACACAGACTATGATACTAAATGATAAATCTGTGTGTGTTATACTAGGAGGTATTATTAATATAATTTTGACTCATGTCTGAAGGGACGTTTACACAACACCATTTCCAGTCTATAGGATTGTGCAAGCAATATCGCCAGCTCATTTTCAAGGTAAGATTCTAAAGGCAGGTTGATTTATTGCGAAAAGTTACCAAATTATGTTGTGATGTCATTGAGCGATGACATCATTACGTAACCATGGAGCAAAATTGCATCATTGCATAGAATACAAAATTACATTACTCAAAAGTGACTGGCCATTTGAAATATGTTCATTTAGATTTGCTTGTAAAAGTAATATTACATATGTCTAGTGGTCGACCAATATTGACAGCGATGCCGATATCTTGGAAAGCAGGGTGGCTGATGGCCGATATAATTTTATTTATTTTAATTAATATTTAAGAAATTTTAAATAATTAGAAAATTGATTAAAAAAAATACATGTGTAAAATAAACATATTTATAATTTAAATGACATTCTTTTTCACAAATAAATAAATATTTAATAAAAATATAATTAAAAAGGAAGTAAACACTGTAACCAACAGGGCACTCAGTAATCTGGGAAGTTTGTGTGCATTGGGATTTGGGAATCATATTTTTTCCAATAAAGCCAAGGTAGTTCAAGGTAATTAAATTAAAAGCTCATTTTACATACAGCACACAGTGAAAATGACATGAATATGACGGTGGGCAAAAGCATGAAGCGCAGCATAATTTGAAATCACGAGTTTAAAGTTAGTCGATCGCGTGTCTCCAGTGAAGCTGAACTCTCCTCCTGTCCGCATTCAATTCACACAGACCGACCGTCACGCAGAGAACACGCGATCATGCAGGATACAAATGCACACTTCACAAGATCTCACAGCTCGATTTGACTAAGTTTGCAAGATTTTTGAAATTAAATGTTCATTAGTCATTTAAAGATTTGTTTAAATAATATAAATGCGTATTTGCTGAATGCTGATGGAAAAACAAGAAAGTATTATAATGTTTGCCTTTCTATAACTAATAATATAAATTTAAATACTTTTTGTATACATTATAATTCCTTTGTTAAACGACGACAGCGAACAAGGAGAATGTGAACACTGTGTGCGCAGGGCGCTGCCTCTCTGAGCACCATCAACATAAATGTCCCGCCTCGAACGCATCGGCCAAACAGAAAAACTTATCGGCCGATGCCGAT